TCCTAATATCCCCTGCAGTATCCCCGTCAATATTAGTTCTGGGCTCCGGGTCAAATTCTCGATAAAAACACATCAAACCCTGGCCGGAGCTAAATTCAGCGATCCCGGCTCCGATCTAAATAATAGCCGAAATTCAGGGATTAGAACTAGAGGATTGATTACCTCACTGCAGGAAGCTCGTATATGAAATTTGGGCTCAATCCGGCTTCCGGATACTCCGAAACCCTAATTTAGCTTATCGGGAATTCAAGAAATTCCTGAACCAAAAACTCGTTTTAAAGCTCTAAATCGATAAATCACGATGAATGGATGAATTAGGCATTACTTACGGGATTTTTGGATCACTGTAGCTCAAGAATTTGAGCTTTGGAAATTCTCCTGGCGATGCTCTGTGCGCCTCTTGCTCGTCTGTTTTCTCCCGATACGTGAAGAAAGAAGAAGATGGGAAATGAAACAGTGGTGGGGATTTAAGTGTTCAGGGATATATATATATATAATTAATACGTATACTTATCCGATCGATCAATAATCTGATTTTCGCCGAAATAGTGTCGAAATGCTCGATTTTAAATCGCGAACTTTCTAGCGATCGAAATATGAGTTTTGTCGGAACGAGATGTTACAGTTATAGTGAAGCGATATTGTGGATTTCTTTGTCACTTATTTGTTAGAGCTTGCGAATGATGGAAAAAGGAGTGATTAATTACGATTTGATTAGATGACTCAATCTTTAAATTTTCCTTGCATGCAATTTACCACCCTTCTTCATTTGCATGAATGGATCATTTTAGTATGCTTGGATTTCTTTTCATAGGGAAGAGATTAGGCGATTAGCACACTGAAGAAGGATTGGGGAAACTATTTTGTAAACAATTATGAAGCTCACTTTCTCTAATTATTTCATATATTCCCGGCGTGGGTGGAGTCCAGATCCAGCATCGGAGCAATCCAAGACTCGGTTTTGGTGATCGCTATGGAGGCACGAAACAGATGCGCTCGTGGCTAAAACCTGTTCTGTTTTTGTGTGCCGCAACAATCCTTGAGCCCGTTCAAGTCCGCACGTGTACGATATGTTGGCCCGTTCCATAGAGGAAAGAGAGAAAAATTGACACCCCCTATTATACCCTCCTACAAACGCTCCTAGAGCCGGAAATTTGAAATGGGGGACGAGTTTTTTTCCTTCTTGCTATTATATTATGTGTAGATTGTAGTAATTAGAACCCCACTTTTAAATCTGGAAGCAAGTGACCACTATCACTAAACATCATATTATAAAAACTTATTTGCAATCATGAGGTCATTTCACTCAAAAGAAACTATGTTTTGTATGTTGAAGGTCAACATTATAGCTTGAATAGTTCAATTCAGCAATGATCTCAGGTCTTGCATATAAATTTTGTGTAAAAAGTGGTATGATTGAAGCTATTCCCTATTTTAACACTAATCAGAACAGTCTTTGTTTACTGGAAACTAACCACCAAAATATTTCAAATTAGAAAAATGATGATACTGAAAAAGAGTATTATAACAAAAGCAACAAAAAATATAGTTATTTATCTTTAATCAACTCAAAAGTCAACCTAGAAGACCAACCTAATGAACTGATGTTAAGAGATCATACATTACTATCAAAGAAACTAAATAACCCATCAGTTAGCTCTCCAAGCAAGAACACTCAACCTTTATATATTTACCCCTCTGAAAATTGCTTTGCGTAACAATATAGGTGGAGGAGGTTAGGCGATTGTCGAGTCCGATGGGAAGGTTTGGAGAGACGGTGATGGTTGAGCCTTTAGTAGGACAGGAGCTCGAGACACTGTTAATCTGTAATAAACTCAAAAGTCAACCTAGAAGATCAACCAAATGAACTGATGTTAAGAGATCACACATTACTGTCAAATAAACTAAATAACCCACCAGCTAGCTCTTCAAGCAAGAACACTCAATCTTTCCATATTTAACCCTCCGAAAATTGCTTTGTGTAACAATATAGGTGGAGGAGGTTAGGCGGTTGTCGAGTCCAGTGTGAAGGTTTGGAGAGACGGCGATGGTTGAGTGTTTAGTACGTAGGTCGGGACACCATTTTGACCCATTTACATTAGTTGCGGCTTTTCAATCCGCATTCGACAAACCAACATCACTCAACATTTCCATAGTTACCACTCTCTTAAAGACACATGTTACACATATTCACTCAAAATTTCTATGTTCAAAAATATTGTTGCTTTATGGTAGTGATATTATTTAAGTCTATGTCAAAAATTTTGCATCGCTTCTACACATTCAATACTGCAATTCGAAGTGCCATATCTGCACCAATGACATTAGGCTTGTGATTTTAAAATTATTCTCCTTTTATAAGATAAATAGAAATAGAATTAATTATTAAACTCGAATTAAAATAATCAAAGTATGAAAATAGAAGTATCAAATACCAAAAAAATATTTGGGGGGAGAGTTAGTGGCTTACTAACTATGATGAAAAATTCCAATGATTTTTCAGATTTAAGCTTCCTGTATGTTTTTAATTTAAAAGGTTTAAAAAAATTTATTTAGTCTAACTGGTTATGTTTCTTGTCTTTTCTCGAAGAGATCACAATTCAAATCCCATCACTTATGTATTTTTCCTGTAAATAAGAAAATAATAAATGACTGTGAAGACGAATCTACCCTTCCTATTTTTGTTATGGATGCAAGGATTATGTAATGGGGGAATAGCTTTTCTCATTTCACTTTTATATTAGGTGTAGCGAAAGTAACCCGGTGGTTGAGTGTTTAGTGGGTCGGGCACTATTTGTGCCCGTTTACATTAGTAGTAACTTTTCCATTTGCGTTGGGAAAACAACAATACTCAATCTATCCATATTTACCCCTCCAAGAATTGTTCTAGCTCAACTATCCGTATTTACTTTTCTTGTTTCTTCATCCAGTGATCGTGAATTGTTTTTCCCATCCAACAGGGGCAGAAGCATGTCATTACCATGCTGATTTTGGGGGATTTTTTTTGTGTGTTAGAAGTGAAGTTGGGAACTCGAAGGAAGAAACAAGAAAAGTAAATACAAGTAAAGAGAAGATGGTGAATTTGGTTTTTTTTTGTGTGTAAAGGAAGTATGGTAGGAAGAACATTTCACCTAGATCTTTAGTAAAGGTGAACCTTATGAAGGCCTTTGATTCTGTTGACTGGGGGTTTCTCTTTAATGTTTTGAAAGCCATGGGGATTCCTGACAAGTTCTTGAAATGGTTAAGAATGTGTGTTACAACACCTAGGCTAAGTATTGGGTTTAATGGTGGATCAGTTGGATATTTCCCTGCCAAGAAGGGTTTGAGACAGGGTGACCCCCTTTCCCCTTATCTGTTTGCAGTAGCTATGAAAATCTTCTCCTGTCTTATGAATGAGGAGTTAAACAAAACTTGATGCCTTTCCACCCTATGTGTAAAAGGCTGAAATTAACTCACCTGATGTTTGTTGATGACCTTCTATTATTCTCTGATGGGTCTAATCTGGGGATTCAGTGTATTAAAAGGGTATTGTCTGCATTTAGAAGAATGTCTGGTCTCCAATCAAATCCTGCAAAGTGTGAGTTATACTTTGGAGGGATGAGTGATCAATGAAAAGAGGTGATGGCCTGTTATTCTGGGTACAAGTTGGGGGTTCTTCCTGTTAGATATCTAGGTCTCCCCTTGTTGGCTGGGAAGCTAACAATTGCTGCATGTGCTCCGCTGGTGGATAAAGTAACTAGAAGAATCACCAGTTGGAAATCCAAAACCTTGACATATGCTGGGAGATTCCAATTGGTTATGTCTGTGCTTTATAGTCTAACTCAATTCTGGATGTCTATTTTCATTCTACCTAAAGCTGTCATTAAAGCTATTGAGAAGTTGTGTAGTGATTTCCTGTGGGGAGTGGGTGTTGGTGCACGCAAGAAAGTTGTTGTGGCTTAGGCTAGGATTACATTTCCTAAGATTGAATGTGGGTTAGGGCTGAGGGATATGGCTTCTTGGAACTCTGCCTGTGTTACTAGGCATATTTGGGCCATTTTGTTGAAGGAAGGCTCGTTGTGGGTGGCTTGGGTATGGGAATACAGAATCAAGAATGCTGATTTCTGGACTCTAACTAACAAGGCATGGTCTTGGCTTTGGCTTAAGCTGTTAAAGTGTAGGGACAAATTGAGAAGTGTGATGTCTGTTCAGGGGGATGGGAGTTCATTGGAAAGGGACTTAATGGTTAAATTCAAAATAAAAAAAGTCTGGGAAGATATTAGACCTAGACAACCCCCTGTCCAGTGGAGTTCTATGGTCTGGAAGGGGCCTTGTATTCCAAGGAATCAATTCCTGGTTTGGCTTGTAGTAAATGAACATATTGTTACAGGTGATAAGGCTCAGGGATGGGGGCTTGTTGGAAACCATGGGTGTGTGTTTTGCCCGCAGAATCTGGAAACAAGCTCTCATCTATTTGCAAAATGTGAATTGTATAGGTCTATGTTTGCTGCTCTTTTCTTTAGGTATACAAATCGTGTGCCTGGAAGTCAGTGGCTGGATGAGCTTCAATGGGCAGTTCTGCAGTTCAAGCAAAAAAGTGTGGTTGCTCAAGCTGGGAGAGTCACTTAGCAGAGTATGATTGTTGCCATTTGGAGAGAGCGGTGCAAAGTGAGGTTTGGAGATGGTGTACTGGATACCAATATGTTGATTAGTCATGTAGAGCGAGATTTGCGGTTGTTTTTAGATCCTTTGTGTATGGATCAATTTTGTTAGATTCCCCTGTCTGGTTTTGATAGGTGCAGTTTCCAGTTTTACTTGTCTATAGAGTTCCCTACTCAGTTGGCAGAGTGTGTTGTCAACAAGTAACATTCCTTTTTGATGAAATAGAATTCCAAACCGATTCATAAAAAAATTCAATTACAAAGTGATTAAGAGTTAATGCCTCATTTTCCTAATTTTAGGGGGGTCGGGCTCCCGAGGCTACTGAGTAGCTCCGCCCCTTACATAACTCTTATGAGGTCCACCTATCTAGGTATTTATTAAACTCATAAGTGAGTTACTGTTTGATAAGAGTTCTGCTAAAATGGAATACCGTTATTCTTTTTGGATGACCTACAAGCTGGTACTTGACACGTGGAAAACCCTTTCTCCTCCATTAGACATGCATGTTCTTCTTTTGCTTGGGATTAATTTTCCCAACAATCAACATCTTTCTCTATTTCCAAAGGAACCATGTCTCTCCTTTTTTTCTTCTTCTTTTACTGTAAGGAACCATGCCTCTCCTAATCACTGGTAAAGATGAACATCATAGGGGTGGCAGTTCGGTTGTCGGTTAGCGGCTAACCGGTCGGTTTGACCGATAACCGCCAGTTAGCGGCTAACCGAAAACCACCCTTTACTTGTAGTGGTCGGTTGCCGGAAGGGCTGAGGGGTGCTTCGGTTAGCCGACCTCCGCGCCTGCTGCTCCAAACGACCTCGCTTCCATTCCCACTCCCAGAACCCCTCCCCCAACACAAACGAAACCTAACCCCTTCCCCAAAACCCCTAATTCCCAAAACAAAAATCTCTCCTTCCTTTTTCCCCGCACCGCGCCGCCTCTCCGGATCTCCCCGCGTCGCGTCGCGCCTCTTCGGATCTCCCCGCGCCGCATCGCGCCTCTTCGGATCTCCCCGCGTCGCGCCGCTTCCGACACCAGATTGTCGGCCATCCTCCCCGCCTCTGCTTCCTTCATCTCCGCCATCGTCTTCGAGAGTAGGCTGGCCGGCACTCCGAGCTGTTTCCTTCTCTTTCTCCTTGTTCGCCACCACCATCGTCGTTGGCGCTCAAACCTCTCTTCCTCCTTCTCCTCTGTTCTCTCTACGAAACGAACCGGAGACCCAAAAACCATTCATTCCCTCTCCGCTATGCCTTCTAAAATCAGAAACCCTCCTCCCTCGATTTACTTTCTTCTTCTTTCCGAGAAACAGGAGGGGGAAATCACTTCCCATGATCCCATCTATCGTTCCACTTCGGAATCAGACAAGATTCCAGCCTATAATACACCGTTGGAGTGCCGGCCAGCCTCCAAATCAATGGTAAGTGGCGGATTATGGTTTTGCATGTTTGATTTTCTGGGTTTTTGCTGGGATTTTGACCCCTTTTCTGGGTTTTGGTTTTTGGTTTCGGGCGAAGAGAGAAGGAAACGGCTCGGCGAAGGTCGTGACCAGATCGGGGGAGACGCAGGCGAGGGAGGGAGAGCAGAGCCAGAGAGGGGTCGAGTCTGGTTTAGGGGTCGAAGGAAAGGGAAATGGACATGGCTCTGTCTCTGGAGGATTGAATTGAGAGGAGATTCCGAGGAGAGAGAATGAAGGAGAAAGTGGGCACGCAAAAGTGGAGAAAGTGGGCAGGTTTTTCGGTTGGCCGGCTAAACGAGCCTTAAACCGAAACTGACCGTTCGGTTGGCCGGATAACCGTGACTCCCTCACGGTCGGTGGTCGGTAGCCATTGGGGTGGCTCGGTTTAACCGATAACCGAGAATTTGGTTTTTGTTTAAACCGAAACCGACCGACTGACACCCCTAGAAAATCACTGATATGCTTATTATTATTCGTTCTTCTTCATTGATTACCCTTTCCCTTTTGTCCCCTGTGAAACAATGGGTATGCTAATGCGAACACGTGGAAATAGAAGTGTCAAATAGATTAAATTGATGGATATATGGACTAGATCAAATGGATAGATCGATTAATGGATTGCGTCAAATGGACTGGTGGATTGATTTATAGATCCAGATGACATCCAACCCTTGGATCATTATGTAAATTTTGAAAAAAATTAGTTACTAAAATTTCATAATAAAACAATGTAGGCACCAAAACATAGTTTTAAATTACATTTTATGCCTGAACAATAGGTACCAACTTATAAAAATTAGCGTAAATTCTATTTTTTATCCAAACATTTTTCAGATTCTTTTATATTACTCAAACCTATTAAAATACTAAGAATTAGTCAAATGTTAACTTCTAGTTAGCCATTTTGTTAGTAATATTGACTTGGCAACATGATGATGACTTGGAAGACACATGAAAGTTAACATTCCAAAATTTTAGTATTTTAACTAAGAAAAGAGTTACAAAATTATTAACAATAACATAAAATGACTAATATTTTGATGCATTACGAAAGATTTGGCTAATTAATAGTATTTTAATTGGTTTGGATAATATAAAAGAATTTGAAAAATGTTTGGGTAAAAAATAGACATTACCTTAAAAAGTATATGTACTAAATTGTAATTTGTAACAATTTATAAATCCAATATTTCAAATAAATTGGATCAAATGAATTGGATTAGTTGGATCTTAGTGGATGGATTGGATTATGGATTCGGATTCTAATTGTCACCTCTATGTGGAACGGATCTGGTGAGTCATATTATTGGAGAGCCAGGTCCAATCCAAATATTGACCACCATCGTTTTGTAAGGAAAACAAAATCTTCCTCAATAAGAATCTCTTTTTGATGCCGTAGATCATCACCATCGCCAGAGCGGTTGGATTTCTTCGTCTGCGTCTTTCCGTCTTCTCGATCGAAAGGGACCAAGTTACGATCTTCCATTTGTCAATTAATTGGGTTGAGGGTAGAAAAACAAGCATTTTGAAGAAAGGGCAAGGTCAATTTAGCTGGCGGCCGAGCAAGTTAGGGAGCAGTTGATGCAATTGGTTACAACTGTTGAAAATATTATCCATGTGGCTAATCAGGCCATAGCTCCATCGGAGGAGAAACTGGATGAGATAAAACAAGCAATTGAAGATGAAACAAGAGAGGAAAACAAGGGAAAAGTAGCAGAAGAAAGAAACATATGGACACTTACAAATAAAGTAAGTAGCACGAGAAGAAAAAAATGCAAATTCGAGGTTTCCTTTCCGGTCAAGTTGGCGGCTAATGCAAGAAACAATTTATACAACATGGTGATAAGGGGATAATTTCAATTAAATTAAGTACAAATTTTATCATCATATAAACGGGTAAATGAATAATACCTCTAAAATCTATGTAATGTCGCAGCAAAGCGCGGCACAACACCACCCTAGTTAACATTGAATTAAGGTTCTAATATCTAATTTATTAGCATGATGTTGAAGATCCGAGTTCCTCTATGTTCTTCAGCTAACTGCTTAAGTTTCACTCATTGTGTGTAGAATTTGATAATGCGGAAGAAAACGAACACACGAGATAAGAGATCTTACGTGGTATCTTTGATCAATTGATTGAGACTAATCCACGGTGAGTTCGGAAGAGCTCACGGCTGACGTTTTATTAAACCACTACATTGTGACGGCTTGTTTACCACAAACAGACAGCAGCTAAGCTTTTATAGAGACAGATAAACTTAGGGTTAAAACCCTAATGACAAGGAAGAAGCTACGGTGCTAACTTCATAGGAGTTAGTACCGTGCTAACTATTCTAATCACCGTTCATTATTTAAAGTTCGCTTAATGCTAACCTAGCTTTATAGTACATGAATATTTATTATTTTCTACCGAACAATTACTACTAAATTCATTACTACTTAAATTAGTAGTGATTTTGAAGGTCTATACTAGTGATTTCGTTATTTATAGTAGTGATTTTGAAGGTATATAGTAGTGATTTTATTGTTAGTAGTAGTGATTTAATGATTTTTTAATTAATAGTAATGGGTGATTTGTAGTGAGAATCACTACATACTAAGACCACCCACAGCAAGCATTGAAAAAAAGGGGGAAAAGGAAAAAAAGGAGGGGAAAGCCTACAATAGGAGAGGATAAAAAGGCTAAAAAGGAAAAGAAGGCTATTGGGGGAGGGTTTACCCTTCTAAAAAAGACAAAAGAAGGAGGAAAAAGTGGTATTGCTGGTGGAAGAAGATGATTGGGCCACGCAGCTGGTGCCATCTTTTTCTTTTTTTTTTCCCACCCTTTTGAAGAAAAAAACCCCTCCCCATTACCCTTTTTTCCCTCTCACCCATTGTGACCAATTCCTCTCCTCCACCCTTTTCCCCTTTTTTCCCACCCTTTTCACCCTTTTTTCCCTTTCATCATTGTGGATGGTCTAATGTCTGCATGTACAAAACACTACTAAAAATCCACTATCACCAATAAGCAAAACTCTACGAATTGTTAACATATCAATGAACAATCAAAATAACTACCTAAAAATAGCTATCAATATTCATGTAATGGGAAACTTTCCCTGGTGCCGAATAAACCAAAATGGGCTTCCCCCTTTTCAAACTTTGTCGGCCGTTTTTCCAATTTTATCTGATCAGAAATTAAGATGGAACAAATCTGGAAATTTTTTCAATCGCAGCCCGTCGATTCCCTCCCTCTCTATCTGCGACGCCATTATGAGATTAGCCCATCCGGGCTCTCTGTCTCGTTCCATTACGACTGCAATCCTGGTGAGGAAGTCCAAACAGATCTGACCACTTCATCAGATTGGGTCGGCCGTGTCTCGCGACGACATCCATCATAAGATTCGGCTCGTCGAGTCTCTTTGACTCGCTCCGTTCTTGCTATAAACCTCACGACGACGACTATACCCAGCGGTGATGCTCCCACACGCTTTGGCTCCTGTTGGTGGTGGTGCTCGCGCGCCATCTTTTTCCCGGCCTCCATTCCAGATCTATGAGCGGTTTGTGACAGAGAGGGGAGGTTGAGGGTCGCTTATTGTGTGTAGAGGGGTTGGAGATAGAGGCAGCGGAGAGACACTTTTATAATTAGGGTTTAGAGATTTTAATTAAGTAATTGACAGAAATAACCTTCAATTAATTAGGACTCTTGGATTATTATTCCAATCTACAACCAAATTCCTTCTTTCACCATACCAAGACAAGAAAACAAGAGACTTGGAGGACAAGAAATTAATTACTTTTTGACTAAATAATTAATTTCCTCAACATTGTGGAGTTAGCATAATAAATAAGATCAATATGCTGAACTCGGTTAAAAAAAATCATGTGTGTTTCTCTTTCACCCTAGAGCTAGAAGCCTGCAATTCAACAACATACATCAATATTCAATAGTAAAGTAACTGCAATCAAATCAAAAAGTCCATGCACAGAACCTGTCATATAACGATGGAGTGATACACAGATCTAGTACACAATATTTATTTTATTTTATTTTATGTGATAGTATCCCAATTCCCAATTCTCGATATTTATATTCACTATGTAACAAGTCGGGTCGAGGTCGAGTAATTTATCATGGAATGTGGTATCGGGGCAGATCGACCCATATTAATATGTAATTAAACGGAGAACATTAGAAATATTCATTTTTACATTACAAAAATCAAGAAACAAACTATAATATGATGAATGTAGTTATACTATTCGGGAAATTGAGATTCTCACCCATTTACAATTTTACTAGAGCTAAACTATAAGATAATAAAAGAAAAAAATTCTAAATACTTTGAGTAAAATCACATGTTATTTAGGCAAAAACGTGTCAAGGATGTGGCAGGTCAAACCAGATCAGTTCGAGACTACTCATTCTCATTCCAAAAAAGATTAAACATGCCTGATATAAAACGAATTATATCAAAATTGACATCCCTAGGTATAACAAGCCAATATCACCAAAATTTCCGCAAAAGGCAAGAGCTTTGTAAGAGAAAATGAGACACCAGGATCCGGTGGTGGCCATAAGACTAGGGCGGCCGCAAGGCCAAAGCCCAAATGAAGGACTCCGCAGGAAAGGAACGAAACAAATGCAGATCTGGGCCACATTTCATAAGAGGTCCAGCAATGGCCAATGGGTGGCATCAAAGGCCAACTTTATTATATAAATAACTATCGTTCAGAAATAGATCAAGAATTCGCTGTAGTATTATAACCCTATGAATTCAATTCCGGGTTGTCAAGCTTAGCGATGCTCGCAAGGGGATCCCGAGTTCAACTCCCGGCAGCGGAAAATTTCTCTCTCTTTTTTTATACTTCTTTTGCTAACAACATTCAGCCTCTTACGCAAGCAAACGTCTCCCGTCCGTCGCTTTAACAACGCTTTTGTGTTGGAAACCCTAAAAAATTGGATTGTCTTATTGAAGTTTTAGCTTATATAGTTGTTTACAATAGTACAAGTGAGCTAGTATAATTGTAGAAGAAGTCAAGGTTCCTTCAACTGCAAGTACAACCCGAAACACAGGTAAAATGAAGAAAAACATAAGTTCAGGGACTAAAGATGCAAATGTCTATCATGTCTTGTTTTTCCCTGAAACGATGTCGCTCCAGGTTCTGCGTGGTCTCTGTTGAATTAGTGAAACGCCGTCGTCGGGGTGTTGATTTCTGTCATGGCGAAGCGGTGTCGTAGTGGTTTTGGGGCAGAACGTTGTCGTCTGGAAGGTGGGATTGAGAAGAATTCAAATGTTATGAATTCTTCTCTGATAGCCCCCCGCAAGTTGCTGGGCAGAGTTCATGGACACCAAGCTTGGAGAAAAGGTGATGAAAAGTGGCCGGTGAGAGAGTTTTGGTGAAGAGATTGGCCAATTGGTGAACACTAGAGAGACGTGGAGTACCTTGATGGTGCCATCTTGAAGCTTCTCCCAGACGAAGTGACAGTCCAGTTCTATGTGTTTCGTCGTTCGTGGAACGTTGGGTTTTCGGCGATGTAGATGGCCAATTGGTTGTCACAGTAGAGCGATGCCGCTTGAGGATGTGGGATATTGAAGTCGTGAAGCAGGTAGAGGAGCCATTGCACTTCACATGT